ACCCCCCCCCCCGGCGGGGAGGGTAGGGAGGGGCTTCGCCACGACTCAACTACGACGTTGCTCAATGTCGCTTTGGCTCGCGCGCTCAAGGAGACGGGGAACGACGAAGACGACGAGGGACAACGGAGACGGAGACGACGAGGACACGACGGAGACGACGACGACGACGACGACGACGACGACGACGACGACGACGACGACGACGACGACGGTGATCCCCGCAAGACGACCACACCGGGATGCGTCTTCCACACGCCGACAGGGTCGGCGGATTTTCCCCTGTCGCACCACGAGGCCAGTTCTTAAGGCGTGCCGGACGTTTCGCCTGAGACTTCCTCACCACTTATGGCTCTGAAGAGCTTTAACAGTTTGCAACAGTTTCACGGATGGAGGGCGGGTCGTTGTCAAACTGTGGCTCTCGCCTTAGCGCCGCGCACATTCGTTTTCAAAAATTTCAATGGTTTCACGGATTGAGGGCGGGTCGTTTTCAAAATGTGGCTCTCGCCTTAGCGCCGCGCGCATTCGTTTTTAAACAGGTGCAAGCATTTCACGGATTGAAGATATTCCGTTTTCAAAATGTGGCTCTCGCCTTAGCGCCGCGCGCATATTCTTTTTCGAAAGTTGCAATCGTTTCACGGATTGAGGGCGGGTCGTTTTCAAAATGTGGCTCTCGCCATAGCGCCGCGCGCATTCGTTCATAACAAAAACAAGGGGTTCACGGATTCCCACGATCAACGTACCAGAAGTTTTGTTATGGACGGATTCAGGATTTTGCGAGTGGAACAGTTACGATGGTTGACGGTGTTACAATCCCAATAATGGCGTTCGAGCGCGTTCCAGGATGGCAAAACGCGGCAGTCAAGTTGATCCGTGGCGTTGGAATCCCGAGAACAATGTTTTTTGGCATGCTTCCGGGTCTTCGAGCAGTTGTGTTCCAACGATGCAGATCCATCGATGGAAATGAACCGTTGTAGGGGCCTATGACGAGGGAGCTTGGAAGGGGGGTGTATTCCAACATCGTTGATGGCTCTTGGGTTTACACTGGTCCTCCTTCTCCCCCTCCTCCTCCTCCTCCTTCTCCTCCTCCTTCTCCTCCCCCTCCTCTTCCTCCTCCTCCTCATCCTCCTCCTCCTCCCCCTCCTCCTCCTCCTCCTGCTCCTCCTCCTCCTCCTCCTCCTCCTCCTCCTCCTCCTCCTCCTCCTCCTCCTCCTCCCCCTCCTCCTCCTCCTCCTCCTCCTCCTCCTCCTCTTCCTCCTGCTCCTCCTCTCCTTTCTCCGCCTCCTTCTCTTTCCGTTACCCCTCCACCTTTCTGGGTTCGGGCATGCTGTGCCTTTTAGTTTGCCCATCCCGTCCTTGAGAGACGCCAGCTTTCTCACTCTGGCCAGCCCCACCTCTCCCCGTTTGATGATTCCTGCCTGCGCCCCCAAGGTGATGGTGTCGGTGTCGCTCTTCATCGGGGAGAAGTTCAACAGCGCCCAGCCTTGCACCAGCCTGCGCTGCGATTTGTGGAAGGCAGCGAAGAAAGGGATGATACCCAGCTTCTTGCGGCAAGCCTTGTGATGTCAAATGAGCTACAGGAAGAGATTACAAAAGTAGTGAAAAAGTACCGGCAACTTAGTGCAAGCATGTTTTCCGAAGTAGTGAAAACTTAGTCCCCGAAATCTGGCCACTAACGTAAACAAAAACAACCACGTGTATACACTAGTGTGCTTATTTTTGACACTAGTACAGCGGTAAACGCACCCGAACCAACTTTACCGCGTGGCAGCTACCGTGAAGCAGACGCGGGTAAACAACTATCCCAGTACAGAGCTTAGTGTGGGCCCCCCATCTAACCCCCCCTCCTCCCTCTCATCTTCTTCCACTCCCCGTCATCATTGTTATTATTCTTCCCCCCCCTTCATTACCATCCTCATCGTCATTGCCATGTACCTCTCCTCCCCAATCGCCACTGGCCGCCCGACCTTTGAACGCGCGATCGTTTTTCCAGCGTGCGTGTCGTCATCTGCCTCCGCCCCCCCCCAGTGTCTTTGTATTCACCCCTCGCTGGCGTGGGCGAGGGGTGAATACAAAGACAGTGGGCGTTGGAGGCGCGCGAGGGCGATGCGAGGGACGGCGAGGCGAGGAGCCTGTGCCCCCTGCCCGTATGGGTTCAAATGTGGATCCCTGCGAGGGACGGTGAGGCGAGGAGGCGAGGTGTTCAAATATGGATCCCTGCTCGTATGGGGGCTCCGTCGATGGCTCTAGCGACCATGTTCGTATAGGGGTACTCCCCATACCTGCACACCCCTCGCACGTTTCGTGGCCCCGACGGGAGCTCCACTGAGGGCCCGAATGGCCACGTTCGCATGAGGGGTCCACGTCAATTTCGGCACGCCCCTCCCACGCGTCGCTGCCACGTAGTGGCTGGCACACCCAATTGCCTTAAACAAGATAGGTCGGAACTAGTGTAAGTGCAGGCTCTGTTTGAGGAATGTGCATAAGTGCGTGAACTGCTAGTTGCTATCCAACTGCCTGCGGCGAATCCAGCCACCGTGCCAGAGCAGCAGCGCGGCGTGAAAGAGGCTGAGTTAAAGACGCATGTAGTTGCTTCTCTGGGGCACCTTGAGGGCCTATCGGGAGCCTTTGGGGTCCGTTCGGGGAACTTCTGGTGGCGGTCTCTAGGGGAACCTCTCGGGGGCATAGTTTAGGAATAGATCCCCACATGGGCTCACACTGGACCCCGAAAGCCCCATTAACATCCATGGGGAACCTCTCGGAGGCATAGTTTAGGAATAGATCCCCACATGGGCTCACACTGGACCTCGAAAGCCCCATTAACATCCATCTTCAGCTCATCCGTAATGGTTTCCAGCAGTGCTCAATCATGGCTGCGCAGCACCCGTTCGCTGCGCTGGCAGACGCTGCTGCTGTCGAGGCAGTTTCGCCGTTCGCTGCGCTTGCAGACGCTGCTGTCGAGGCAGTTTCGCCGTTCGCTGTGCTTGCAGACGCTGCTGTCGAGGAGGCAGTTTCGCCGTTCGCTGCATTGGCAGACGCGGCTGTCGAGGCACTTTCGCCGTTCGCTGCATTGGCAGACGCTGTTGTCGAGGAGGTAGTTTCGCCGTTCGCTGCATTGGCAGACGCTGCTGTCGAGGACACAGTTTCGCCGTTCGCTGCATTGGCAGACGGTGCTGTCGAGGAGGCAAGTTTCGCCGTTCGCTGTGATGACAGTCTCTTGCATGGACTGCCCTCGTCGCACCGCAGGGGTCGCAAACGGAAGGCTGACCTAGTAATCGCCTCTGCCGCTCCGCTCGGTTTGGCTGCTGCTGCAAATCAATGCCAGTTGGACGCTGCCGATGCCATGCATGCACATGCTGACCACCAGCTGCGAGTGCGCCGTCAGGTTTTGTTGGGGCCAGTGCCGTCGTGTCTCCGACCGAGGGCCCAGTCCAGCACCGATTGCACCCAGAGCATGCCGCAGGATGTAGTGCGATCGCTTCTGACTGGGTCAGGCGCCAATCTTGTCCAACTGGGCCATCTTGAAAACACTCTGTCTGCGGCTCTGACCACCGTTGCAGGGCAAAGTTGCGAACTAGACAGTGCAACTTTGACCTTCTCGGAGTTCATGTACGAGCGTCCCCGTCTCAGCATCGTTGCCTCTGCCGCCAGTATGAGCGAGCAACTCCATATGACCCGCGCCGCTTTCTTGGCCAGAGAGATCAGAGTTGCTAGCGCTACGTTGCTATGCTCTTGGAGCGAGAGGAGATCGTTCGAGATGTCGATTGCTCGCGCTGTGGAGCGAGAGCAGATCGATGCTGTCTTCTTCTGCGAGGCTGGCCGCGTGGACGAAACCCCGATGAGCACGAGAAGCCATGCTGCAACTACCCCGATTGGGAACCTCCGTGCAATGGAGAGCCAGTCGTCCCAGCAGATCGTTCAGAAGCCTGTCATCGACAATGCTGATCTGAGGGCATATGTGTCCCAAGCGCCAGATGGGGGTGGTACTTCGAAGATTCTCCATGTGGAATGCAATTTTGGTTATGTGGTTGCCTGGCGGAGATCATCAGGTCAACGAATTGTGTGTGCTCTGTTGTTCAGGCAACCTCGTCGGCTTTTCGTCGTGGACCGCACGACTGCTGTGAACTTGCGCATGGCACTGCGCAGGGCTGATTCGGCGAGCCTGGCTTTGACAGTTTTCAAGAGGAAGTCGAGGATTGTGTGCAACGACAAAGCTGGGAGCAATCGGCTGTCTGAGCGGGCCCATGCGCACGACCGTCGCTATGCTGGCTTCGGTGAGACGGCCCTCTTCGACTGCGAGGTGCACGTGGCAGCCGCCATACATGCGCATGTGTTCCGCCGTATTGACGATGAAGTTACCGGCCTGGTGCGCGTGGCGCTGAGCTTGGCTGGCCACTCGAACATGGGGAAATTCAGGAAGATTGTGGAAGCCACTGTGCTCAGGCGCGTCCGCATCAAGCTTGGCGTCTTGAGTCCAGAGGCGCTGTCCTGGCGGACTCGTGCGATGTATTTGTTTTGCGGTCAAGGTCTCAAAGCTGCGCAAAGGTTGATCTGTCTTGGCATCTACCCAAACGGCGACTGGAGGAACCGCGTGGACGTCGAGCTGTATGTTGCCCAGGCCGATCTGATAAAGTATGGCGAGGATATGCTGAAAAACATGTGCGCATGGGGTGTCTTATAGTTTGGTTGGTGCTGCGCCTAAGGACTGCTGGGCCGAATCCGCCGACCCTGATGGGATGTCGTTCGCGCGGGGCGTTGTTTCCACAGCAACACTTCGCCAGACCCCACGAGGGGGTCACGACGGGTAGAAGGGCACTGGGGTGGGGAGATAGGGGTAGGACGACGACGACCCCCAACGAGACGGATGACGACGACAAATACTGCAACGACAACGATGGAGGGGGGGGCGGACGGTGGCGGGCAGGACGAGGGGGGACAGGAAAAGGAGGGCAGGGCGACAACGACGACGACAACGACGGTAGGGGGAATGAGGAGGAGGAGGAGGAGGAGGAGGCTGAGCAGGGAGGACGACGACAAGGACGCGGACATTGCAGAGGATTGGGAGGACGAGAGGGAGGAAACTAGCGACAAGGACGATGACGACGAGGAGGGCAACAAAGATGAGGAGTGGAGGTTCAACGGGTTCTGGGCAATATATTTGGGAAGTGTTGTCTGGTGTGCGTAGGGGCCGTTGGGAGCGGGGGCGTGCAATGCGCCCCCAGATGGTAACATCCAATATGGATAGTGAGATCCGTCAGCGACGTGCATGCGCATTCCCCAATTAGGCACGAGTCCACGCCCAGCGTATCAAACTTGTTCCTGATTGGAGTCGTGCTGGTGTCCTCGGGGAGGGGCTCTCAAGTCTTGGCCCCTGAGTTGCAACGCCCCGTCGCTAACGAATAGAGTTTAGATTTTGCGTTCAAGCAGGTTTGCGAGCGCAAACGCTGGACTGGCATGGAAGCGTCTATCGAGTCGTTGGGCCGTCTGTCTGCATGCCATGGTCTGCTCGAGGAGTGTTATGCTGCATTCTGCAAGTCTTTCCACGCCACTGGCGAAGCTGCAAATGGGTTTCCTGAAGCTTCGGCTGATGCTGATGGCGAAGGTGGGCAGGGCGGCGCTGCTGCTGATGGCGTCGGCGCTGAGCCAGGGGGTCCTGCCCCCGACTCATGGCAGAAGGAGAATGCACTGCACAGGAGGCTGGGCATGAAATTCATCAGTGGAGATCCGTTCGCACGTTTGGTTTTGATGCGTTTGTGCGTTGAGCCGCTTAGGCTCCTGTTGGCAGACAAGTTCGCGCTCGCTGCAGACGAGTTCGAGGCGGCGCAGAGGGCAAAATAATTGGATCAACCACCAGGGCCTGCTGGGGCAGGTCTAACATGTCGGTCTTATCGAAGTCTCGAGGCTGCTACCAACGTTCACGAGGAGCGTGCGCTTGCTAAACTGAGATTGCTTTTCGGACAACCCGATATGTGGTCGCTGATGCCAGTTTCCTCCCACCTTGAGTCCCACTGTGCTTTGGCGTTTCGGATCCTGTCAGCAGCGGGCGCGCTACTGGAAGAGTTGTTGATGAGCGTCCACAGGAACTACCCATATCGCTTATTCGTGGCTTTACTGGACGGCGCTGCGCTGGATGATGTGCTTTCCGACGCCCCTTGCATCCGTGATTTCTTTTCAAGGTTGGAGCGGCATGATTTGCGGACGCGCGAGGGCAAGGTGTCCCTGGCGCTGATGGCGATTCTTGCTCGGACAGAGATTTCGGAGATAGAGTGCTTGCATGGCTCCCTGCGACGGCTATTATTCTCCATGGGGTTACAAACCCACCTGCCGTGATTCGAGCAGGCTTCTGCGAGATGGATGTCATCGAGGTGGGGGGAGGAGGAGCGAGATCCGAGCAACTTTCGCAACCGAGCTGCTGCCGACGACGCCACCTCTGGACTCCCGTCCGAGACCGAGGGCCAGGCGAACC